TGCATATGCACATGATATATACATACATTTTATAATGAACAAGCAGAACCCTAAGAAAAGAAATGGGCAAATCTATTTTTCTCCATTCTTTATAGAGGTGGGAAACTATGGATGTGCCTAAACTCTTCGACTCAGTTGATGTGTTGATTAGTTTTACTGAACTTCTTTTTTAAAATTATTTTTTGCCCAAGGTTCAGAGTAGGAAAGGGGGGAGGGGGACATATTTGGAAATGAAAGTGATGTAAAAAGGAAAATATTACAAATATGAACATTTTTAATGACATGCCAGTTGATTAATGAAAGAGAGGAAACATAGAAGTCTCAATCACAAGATTGGAGCTTGTCCAAGAGGCATTTACTCATAGCATTTAGTCACATTTTAAGAAATTTCTCAACCTTAATCTAATGACATCTGTAACTTCTTAGTGGGCAGAACAAATAAAAGTTTCTTTATGTAAGTGCTTACCTTGTTGGGTAGAGCTATTTGTTGTAGCTACATTTGGAAAAATGAAATAGTTGTTACAATAGGGTTGAGAAGAGTGAGATGGTATAAAATTTTTACATTGACCTTATTTTTTCAGATGATCTTTTGCTATATAATCTATAATTGGACTATAATAAGTAACTAAAATAGCTGTTTTCTATAAGGAGCAGTTTCTTAACATTAATTAGATGGAATTCATTTACAAAAACTTTCATCTCTTCCATTTAGATCAGTACATTATTTTTGGAACTGAGGATGGTATTTACACATTGAATCTAAATGAACTACATGAAGCAACAATGGAACAGGTAATTAAGAATTTTCAAGTTAGAATTCCATTTTGTTAACTGGAAAAATCAGATGATTGTGTTTTATTGAAGCCCTAGACTTAATATCCTTGGTTTAATTCTTAAAAACATCTTCTTATTTTATTATTCATCATAAAATAAAGGTTTTTTATTTTTGAATCCAGACCTGTGATTTTATTGGTGTAAAAAGCTATCAGTTAGGAAATTCTCTCTTAACATTTCAGACCAGAGATTTAAAGTTTTAAAGAGTTGTCTAGGTCCCTGAGAAGTTAAATGACCTGCCTAGGACCTCACAGTCAATATATATCAGAGGTAGGTCTTGAACCCAGATCTTCCTGACACCAAGGCTGGTTCTCTCATCTGATATTAATATATTAACATTATAAATTATTAGTAATAATGACAGATAATTATATAGTACTCTGAAGTACATAAACTAATAGAATCTGTTGGAAGGGGCCTTTGGTATCATTTAGTCTAACATATTTTAAAAAGAATCTTCTCTATGGTATTCCGAACAAATGGTCATCCAGCCTCCACCTGAACATTTCCAGTGATTGAAAATTCACTGCCTTCTATGTCACTTATGGGTCGTTCTGTTAGAAAATTGTTTTTGTTTTTTCCCCCTCATATCACACTTATTGTACCTCTTTTAAACTTTCTTCCTGGTTCTGAACTCAGAAGCAAAAGCCAAGTAAGCCAGATCCTTTTTCTACCTAAGAGCCTTTCACATACTTGAAAGAAAGCTTTCTATTTTTGCCTAAATTTTCTCTTCTTCATGCTAGGCATCCCCAGTTCCTTTAATAATCTTTATATGATATGATTGCCAGTTCCCTCACCCTCTTTGCTGCATTTCCCTGGACCCATATTTTTTTGGTCTGGGCCTGAGATTTCATCATCAGTTTCAGATGTGATGCCTCGAAGTGAACTTCATTCTCTTCTAACTGTGGTCTAGGTATGAATTCAGTGAAATGATCATCCTCCTCATTTTGAACCCTTCCATTTAACCACAAGGTGGTCCATCCAACATGGTGGGAACCTTCCTTACTTTCTCTTTACATGGCTAGAATGCCTGTGGTCATGGGCTATCCCTTAGTTATTCCTCTCTAGTCATGTAACCAACCCATCTTTTTTTTTCCCATACATTTCTTTGTTGATATCCTTTACTCCAGTTATTTTTTATGTTTCTGTATTTGTTATATGTTAGAATCTGTTCACACCCACCATGAACCTATCTGTTGCCCTTTGGTTGAGCCCTGGTTTTCATAAGATAATAGATTTAGAGCTAGGAAAGACCTTAAATGTCATTTGGTTCCCATCACGAGTGACTTGTCCAAAGTCGAATTTGAACTCAGATCCCGACTCCAAGGCCAGAGCTCTATCCACTGCGCTGCCTAGCCACCCCCACTTTCATTTTTTAAAGTAATTTCAGTATGTTTGTTGGAAGAGAACAGATTTCAAGGCAACAGTTTGCTCTATTACATGGAATTGTGTGTTTCATTTATTCATTTTTACAGTCAACACACAGTAAGCACCGTAGTTGTGTTCCTTATACCTTTGTCAGTTATTTGATGGTAAAAATGTATTCTCCTGTATAGTATCTCTTGTGAAAGCTTGCCTTTTCTGTTCTGATAGTATATTGAGTATGCCTGCTATGTAAGGGTAGATTAGTTTTTAATATTCTATATAAATGGTAGAGTAAGTATATATTTCTGGAGTTATTGATGTTCTCTTGGCTAACTTTGATTGGTATTAATAAAGTTTTTTTTTTCTACATGTCATTCAAATACCTGTGAGAATTTCTCAGTGCCCTCAAAATTGTGTTGCCTCCCAGCACAGCTCTTGTCTTTGTACTCTTGGTGTAACCCAGCTCTTTTTCCCGTCTTTTTCTATTCTTTAGTGACATTTCTGACTTCCACTAGAATCATATGGCTATTCACTGTCTTTTACAATAAAAAGAGTTTTTTATTCTGAAAAATCTTTGCAGATCTTTTCCATTGTTGCCCTCCTATTTTCATTCTCAAATACCCTCAAGATGATTTTTCTTAGTTTCTTTGCCATGTTTTCTTTGAAAGGTGGTTTTGTTTTGTTTTGTTTTGTTTTGTTTTAAAGAAAAAGGTCAGGGAGGAAAGAAAGTATCCTAGCCATATTTTAAGATATACAGAATGGGAATAGGAGAATTAAAAATACTTGTGTATTTTCATATTATATTAAAATAATGATTTTTTTTCTATAGTTATTTCCACGGAAGTGTACCTGGCTGTATGTTATTAATAATACATTAATGTCATTATCAGGTATGTATACTGTAGCCTAATATATGTAAAAAAATAAGCATGGTACATATTCAGCTAATTTTATCTGTACTACTTTAAAACTAAATGCCATTTTGGATATATAACTTAGTAAAATAGCTTTGTAACATGCAGATTTGCTCTGCCAAGTAAAAATGATAGGATTTTAGAGCTCTCATCCTTTTTTCTACTTTGAATGATTTAAGTTAATTTCTTATGTACCATCCAAAAATCAGTGTTACCTTTTCTACTTTGCTAATTACCATCTCTAGGTTCTCTATAATAAACAAGTCTAATAAGATGCTTGCTTCATGGCCCTTAGGGTTTATATTGCCCCTAGATTTCCAGTAGTATGTGTACCTTTTCATCTATTTATACATCCAAGTATAAATACCAACACAATTCAACCTCATTCATTTCTACTTTATTAGTGGGAACATCAGTTTACATTAGTGAAAAGTCTGAATTTCAATGAATTTTTTTATAAATGTAATGGTACATTATTACTTATATACAGTAACTTAAATTGATTGTATTGCCTGGTAGGGATTTTTCAGGGACCTGTATTATAGAACAAATTATTGAATTAGCATTTGAATTTTGTATAAATAATTTCTGGAATGCAGGAACATACTTGAATTCAGATATTTCTCTGAGATTTAATGTTTTTCCTTACAAATATGCTTGTGTTCTTTATTTGTTTATGAAACCCTTTCTTCACAGAAAGAATATGCTTCAACTGAAGTTAGTGTGTAAATTTTTTAATTCTGAATTTTTCCTTCTGAATTAATACATAAAATTAACACATAAAATTGCTTCCCTTGACCTGTAGTATTCATTTCTTTGCCATTACCTGTAGCAGTAATGTTGGGTCATCACATTTCTATAGTACTTTTAAGGTTTACAACAAACCTGGAAGATAAATAGTGCAAATATTGTTATCTCTATTTGACAGTTGAGGAAATTAAGGTTCAAGAGAGGTAAAATTACTTTTTGAAGGTTCCACAGCTAGTTAATGGGAGAATTTGGACTACTCTGGTGCCCTTTATTCTGCACCACATTATCTCAACAATCCTACAATAAAATAAGATATAGAAGCATTGCATTAATGTATTATGTTGCTAAAATAGCCTCAGAAAAATGGTAACAGAAAAATTTTCCTATACCTTTAATGTTAGTTATTTAGAATAAGAGTCGAGTTAGCAAATTACTAGTTTTCTGGCGTTGAGTTTTTGCCAGATGTGTGCCAAATGAGGTAGGTTGGAGATATCTGAGCATATATTCTGAACAATGCAAAATACTTTGAAAATATTTTTAGTCTGGGGGGAGATATTTAAAGAGAAAAAAAAGTTGTGTGAATAAGATACACTCTGTGCTAGTCAACTTGAGGACTTCAAGGAACATAGAGAAAGCCTTATAAATTAAGCTTATTTCTCTACATGGTTTATTGAATTGCTATGCAAACCATCATGGACATACTCATATGTATGTGCTCAAGAAGATTTATACATTGCTTCATTGCCAAGCACTGGGTGTCCTATCTTTGTCAGGAAGGTGAAATTGTGCATGCAACTCCACAGTGTGTCATCCAGCACCCGGTTGTGTGACTGCTGGATGATTCACAGGTCTCATAGCCCTTACAGTTTTTAACTGAGTTAAACAAAGGAAACTGAAACTTCTTACAAATGCAACCTACTAAAGTAGGTCAGACAAGGCCAAATTTGTAGAATTTCTTTGGATATTCATCAGTTATTCTAGCTTTCTCTTTCTGAATGTCCCCCCCTCCTCTGAGTAAAGGGACCTAACTAGCTTGCATTACATTTTCACTCTCTAGTTCTAGTAATTTTAATTTTTATTTAATAAGAACATTGCTACTTCATTTGTTTTTCATCCTTGTATCCTGGTTACCTAGCACAATGTCTTGAACATAATAGGTACTTAATAAATTTTATGTATTCATTAATTTTTTTTAAAGGCATTTAATTGCCTACCATGAACAAGAAACTGCAGGACATCAAAAAAGATATAAATATAATTAAGATATGATCTCTTCTGTTATGGAGCTTACAATATGGTGGGATTTGGGGTAAGGAGACAGCAATACACAAATATACCAACCTGCACATTTATATAAGAATATAGAAGGAAAGATAATATCTTGTTGAGGAGGCAGGAAAAGGTTCTTGGATGAGGTGACATTTAAGCCGGGTCCTAAAGGATGAAAAGAAAAAGAAACATTATGAACTTAGATATTAAAACTTAAACACAAAATAATAAAAGGTGAGGAAAAGGCATTGCCATGTGCACAGCAGAATGTAAGAGAGGATTCAAAATATACAGCAATAAATTTCAATTTGAAGAAAGCCTGTATAATCCTATGCATTGTGTTCAGAACTGTACATCTTTGCTTCTTCATAAATTTTTTTTTTGTTCTCTGCTGTGCACTTTTTTACTTTGTTCTTCTTTTCCCCTCTTCCTCCACACCGCCCCCCCCGAAAGCTATAATTAAGCACAGTTATATTTATTTATACACACACACACACACACACACACGTGCACGCGCGCACACACACATGCACAAACATATACATATACACACAAAAATATGCATATATATATGCTTAGATATTTATAATCATACTCATATGTAGAAATATACATTCATATATAATTTGTCCTTTGTTTCTTTGAGGGTGGATAAGCTCTTCCTTCATAAGTTCAAGTCTTTCCATATTTTTCTAAGTTCACCAACTTATCATTTCGTACTCCACAGTGATATTCCCACTTTATACTGTCTTGTTATTTTAAAAGTCTAAAACAATAGTTATTAATATGGCTGGCATATAGTGCAGTTTCCCTATTTTACTCTTTTGATTAAATCTATTTTAGCTTTAATTTTGTTTAAGATCATGATTACCACCCCTGCTTTTTTCCCCCTAATAAATTCTAATTCTGATTTTTATTTTGTTTGTGGATATCTCTTATTCATTCCTCCTGACTCTTCTACTTTATTTCCACCTGCTACTTTGATCTCTGTTACTTAACCTACCCCATCTTGGGGGATCCCCCCAAGGATCCCTCCCTTATTCTTCCATTCCTTTAATCTAAACACTCTTCTATTACTCCCCCTTATCCTATTCCCTCACCCTCCCCTCTAAAAATCCCTTCTTTATCCTCTCCCCATCCCTATCCCCTTAGCCTTTTATTTCTTTCTGAATTTGTGTGTGTGTATATATGTATATCTGTGTGTGTGTGTGTGTGTGTGTGTGTGTATTATTCTCTCTTAAACCCATTCCTGATGAAAATAGGCTTCCAGAACTACCAGCCCTCCTCCCCCATCTAATTCCTCTTTGTCAGTTCTTCCTCTTGCACCTCATTTGTATAATTTCTCTTTTTTACCTTTTCCTAAATGGTTTTACTTTTTGGAATCATATCACATTTAGGTCTATCCCATTCTTTCTTTTGAACTACCCACTTACTAATAACAATTTTAGACGTACATTTTACATTTCCTCATATAAAGAGTAAACAGTCTGTCCTTATTGAGTCCCTTGTATTTATTCTTTAATATGTTATGTACCTTATATTTCGCTTGGGTCATATATAACAAATCTTCTATTAAGTTTAGGTTTTGTTTTGTTTTGTTTTGTTTTTTAAACAAAATCCGGAAAGTCTGGCAATTCATTAAATGTCCATGTTTTTCATTCAAGATTATGTTTAACTTTGCTGGGTATGATATTTTCGGCCCCAACCCCTGTTCTTTTGCTCTTTGATATATATATATATAGATATAGATATAGATAGAGATAGAGATAGAGATAGATCTATATATAATCTGTATATATCTCTATCTCTATATCTATCTATATATCTATATATATCTATATATATTTATAGATATAGATAGAGATAGAGATAGATCTATATATAATCTGTATATATCTCTATCTATCTATCTATCTATCTATCTATATATCGTGTTCTAAGATCTACAGTCTTTTAGTGTTGCTGCCGCTATGTCTTGTATGATTCTAATTGTGGCACTGCCATATTTAGGTTGTTTTTTTCCTTGTTGCTTGTAATATTTTCTCCTTGACCTGGGAGTTTCGCAGTTTAACTATTATGTTCCTATAGGTTTACTTTGTAGGATCTCTTTCAGGAGGTGATCGGTGGATTTTTTCTATTTCTACTTTATCCTCTTGTTCTAATGCTTCAGAAGGACAATTTTCTTTAATTGTTTCTTGTATCATTGTATCAAGATTCTTTTTTTTGATCATAGCTTTCAGGTAGTCAGATTATTCTTATGTTTTCTCTTCTTGATCTGTTCTCCAGATCAGTTGTCTTTCTTATGTTTCACATTCTGTTCTTTTTTTTAATTCTTTATTGCTTTTTGTAATTAAATAAAAGTATTAAAATGTAAGCTCATCTTCTGTAGGCTCAATGAAAGTATCCTCAGTACAACTCCAAAAGTAGATAATACAACGTGGATGCTATTTACCTCATCCTGCTCCCACATTATTTTAATATCCTTGGTCAGGTCTCTACACTTTAAAAGCTTTTCAGTCCGTTTAGCTGAAAGAAATTTGAGCATTTGATATGGCAACATCTGTTTTAAATATTCTTAAGTTTTTATGAACCAATGTTACATTTGGATGATGCTGATAATTGTTATTCAAAACTATATCTGATGGCATTAAAATTATAGTGTAACTGCCAAGTACTGGTAGTGTGATTTTTTAAAAAGATATTTTTTAGATATAATTTTGATTTTGTACTGTGCTGATTTTAGCCTATTTTCATTTAGGTTTAATCCACTAAGTTAATTTAAATTTCTACCTAATACCTACAACATAACTATCATAATATATGTGGCAGTAAGCAAGGAAAACACATTTTATTAGTTTTTCCATATTATGGCAGGGTGAGGACCATATGTATGTCACAATGAAAAGAATGTTTTGGCTTGCTTTGTAATGCCATTATAAGGTGCTTTTATTAGTCTATATTGTACTTTTTAAATTTTTGCTATATCCCCAGTTGGTATAAATGATTGTATGTTTCTGTGTATGCTTCTGTGAATAATTAATTTTCTTTAAAGTCAGAATTTAAAAGCAAAATCCACTATGGTTATGTACTACCAAGAAATGCTTAATTTTTTATTATGAAACATAATTTTGGCTACTGTTTTAAATTCTCTCAGAATAGTTTTAACTTTTTAAAAATTTCTTGTTTTTGGGTTTGGCTTTTTGAACATTTCTGGACTCTTCATTTTTAGAAGGTAAATATTTACACTTTTACTTGAAAATTGCATTAATCTGCTGTGAATGTCTATAACAAAAATAACATGTTTCTCTTTTGTAGGAAAAACTTTTCAACTCTATTCCCATAATCTAATAGCCTTGTTTGAACAAGCCAAAAAACCAGGATTAGCGGCCCATATTCAAACTCACAGATTTCCAGATCGGATATTGCCAAGGTACAAAATATGAACTTTTATTTTGAGAAATAATCATATTTTTAAATGCACTCATTTGTAAATCAGGAAGAAATGATAAGAGGAATTCCTTTGAAAATAACTACAAAATGCGTAATATACCTGAGAGTTAGCCTGCCACCACACAATAAAGATTTATGTAATCATTATTACAGCCATTCTTAAGGAGGGAAGTATTTACTGTGACTGGTACATCTGTGCTAGTATACTTAAAGTGATGATGGTACCTAAATTAATTTATGTATTTAGTGCAGTACCACTTGAATTTCAGAGCATATTGCCAAATTCATTTAGTTTCTAGAACTAAATAAAACAGTTAAGAAAATTTATTTCAGCGACTAAAAAATCTAGAGTCTTTAGGGAAATAATGACTGAAAGGGAACATAGAAGAGATGTATCAGACCTTAAGTCATACTATGAAGCAGTAATCTTCAAAACTATTTGCTACTGGTTAAAAAAGAAAAATTAGATCATTGGAACAGCTTGGATAAGCAAAAAGCAGAAGCAGTTGTATGGCATTCCAGCATTTGATAAATGCAAAAAATATAAATTACTGAACTTATCTTTTGAACAAGAATTATTGGGAAAATTAAAAATAAATTTTGTAGAAATTAGACTGATATTTGGCACCATATGCCAAAATAAGCTAAAAATGAATATGTGACCTGTGTCCAAAAGTTATGAAAATATTAGAAGAGAAAAATGAGATCAGATACTTTTCACAGCTATGGGTAGACAAAGAATGTTTTTATTTTTGTTTCTTATGAAGAATTCTTAAGCTAAGGGATAGAGGTAATCATAAAAGATAAAATAGACAAGTTATAAAAATAAAAAGCTTTTGCAGGAATGAAAGCAATATAGGTAGAATTAGAAGAAGAATGGTAGAGTGAGAAAATGTTTGCACCACATATTACTGATAAAAGGCTGATATTGATACATATGTAATAGGTAGAGCTAGAGCCATTCCCCAGTAGCTGAGTGGTTAAAGATATGATGTTTTCAAAAGGATTGCATGACCATTTGAAAACATACTCCAAAATCACTACTGGATAAATTAAAATGAAAGCAAATGAAGTTTCACCTCACACAAAAAAAATTGGCAAAGATGGGCCAAACCATGATGGAACAATCAATGTTGGAAGAGTTTTAAAAGACCAACATATTCATATTCTGTTGGAGCTGTGAATTGGTTTAGCCATTTGAGTTCTCAATTTGGAATACAGTACTTAAGAAAAATGACTTTGACCCAGCAGTTATACTACTGGGCATATACCTCAGAGAAATCAAAGATAAAAACAAAGGCTAGTATATAAGATACTCATACTAACATTCTCTGTGGTAGCAAAACACAAGGAATGCTTATTAGGGGCAGGTAGGTGGTGCACTAGATAGTCAGAAAGACTCATCTTCCTGAGTTCAGATCTAGTCTCAAACACCTACTTGCTGTGTGCCCTGGGAAGTCACTTAACCCTGTTTGCCTCAGTTTGTCATGTGCAAAATAAGCTGGAGAAGGAGATGGCAGCTACTCTACTGTCTTTACCAAGAAAACCCCAAATGAGGTCTTGAAGAGTCTGGAACAACTGAACAGCAACAATAACAATTTTCCGGGGAAACAGTTAAAAAAAACCCCTAAGATATGTGAATGGCTTCGAATATTGTTTTACAGAGATACAAAAGATTACCAAGGCAGAATATTGGATACATTGTCATATTGAGTCACTATATCATATGTTTATGCTTAATTGTTTTCTTTATTACAAAGACGGATTCAGTGTTGTGTGAAGGTAGAAGGTAGTTCCAGAAGTGACTGATGTAAAGATAAAACATATAAATAAAACATTTTAAAAACCAAATCAATAAAAAGTATATTATCCAATAATAATTAAAAGAAAAGAATCCAGTTTTGTTGATAGTGAAAATTCCCCAACTTAATTTTGAGAAGTAGGGTATACAATATGTGTTATCATAAGAGTACAGCAAAGTATGTTAAGACCTTTTTATAATTTCAGGAAATTTGCCTTAACAACAAAGATTCCTGATACAAAAGGCTGTCACAAATGCTGCATAGGTAAGTAAGAATAGTATTTTTTAACTGGAGGATAAGGGCTTTTAAATATTATTTTAAGAGTGCCCAGGAATAATGTTTGGAGTTCTTAGGTTTTTGTGTTTTCTTTTTTGGTGATATCTCTGGGAGATCATAATATAAAAAAGTTTGAGGACCATTATTTTATTGCTATTTGATGTGTGTAATTCTAAAAGCATTTTACTGTGTTATCTAAGGGCTTTCTCTCTTTATTGTGGTTTGATTTGGTTATACCTTCCTTCCTACCACCTGAGTCAATTGTCCTGAAGATAGTCAGAATATTCCTTTTTCCCCATTGCCAGTTCCATACTCTCTTGTGCTACCAGCATCATTCATCATCCTCTCCTCCTTTGAGATCCTCTTTAAAATCCCTTATCACTCACCCTATATCCTGGTTACTGTTATTTACTGGTCCCCAAGACATTCTCATTCCCTTCTCAATGAGTTCAGTTGCCTGGCTCACAGACCCCCCTCTGCCCTCATTCCTTCACCCATGCTATGACACTTTAGCAAACATGTTGTTGACTGAGAAACCCTAACCTCCTCATTCCTTGATTCACTAAACTCATGACCTGCTCCTCCACTTTGATTGTGCTATCATTCACAAGTGGTAGGGTTCCTTTAGCTGAACGTAATCTATAACTCCATTTCCTCCTATACCTTGTTCTTCCAAAACTTTTCTTTGGACTTTTAGTCCCCCTATCCCTTAGTGCTTTCCTAGGCTATCATCCCTACTCTGGCTACACTGCCTTTCCTTCCAAATCTCAACCCTTTAATGAACAAGTTTAATTCTATAGTATCCACACTTGCTTATATTTGTAAAGCACCTAGCACAGTACTCAGCACATAGTAGGTACTTAATAAATGCTTATTCCCTCCATCACTAGTGCTTGTCATTCATATATTGACAAACCTCAGCCTTGGATTACTTTTACTATCTGCTATATCTCTATCTGCTCATATCCTGCTAAAACTCATGTGCTCTTGAACTAGAACCATGCTAACTTGATCCATTACAGATTTTTGTTAGCAAATCTGAACCAGGCCCTGATAGTAGCAAGGCAGTTTTTTTACTCCCTATTTGATTCTCTGCTTCACACCACAAATAGTTTTGTTCTGAACTTTCCAGTTCCTCTTCAAGCTTCCCACAGTAACCCTTTTAGCTAGGAATTTGATCATTTGCCCCATACTTTACCAAGAAAATCAAGGCTGTTCACCGTGAGCTCCCTCTTCTCTCATTACATATTCCTACAATATCATGTGCTAAGAACTCCTTTACTCTAGTCTGTGATGAAGTGGCTCTTCTTGCTAAGGCCAGTCACTCTACATGAACCCTTGAAACTCTTTCCCATCTTTTCTAGAATATTGTCCCTACTGTTATTGTCCTTCACTTCTCTTCAATCTTCCATCTTATCTACTGATTCCTTCTCTGCTGCGTACATTCAGGTATCACCCATCCTTTAAAAAAATTGGGGTTTTTTTGGGGTTTTTTTAGGCAATTGGGGTTAAGTGGCTTGCCAAGGGTCACACAGCTAGTCAGTGTCAAGTGTTTGGTCTGAGGCCAGATTTGAACTCAGGTACTCCTGATTTCAGGGCCAGTGCTCTATCCACTGCGCCACCTAGCTGCCCCCCCAAAAAAAAAAATCATTAAATCCTACCATTCCTGATACCTGTAATCATACTGTATCTTTCACCCCTTTCTCAGCCAAACTCCTTGAAATAGTTATGTTTAATTATTATCCCCTCATTTCCTAACCTTGTACATTCTTCTAAACCCTCTACAATATGACTTTCATTCTTAATACTCAACTGAAAATGTTTTTTTTCCCAAAATTACCCATGATCTTTTTTAAAAATATTTATTCTGAATTTAAACACCAAAAAGAGTATTACCATACTCACACAGCAGAACAAAAAGGATTCACAATGCATTGCCATTGAATAGCACCTACATTTTTTTGTTGTTTTTTGTTTTTTAGGCAATTGGGGTTTAGTGACTTGCCCAGGGTCCCACAGCTAGTGAGTGTCAAGTGTTTGGTCTGAGGCCGAATTTGAACTCAGGTCCTCTTGACTTCAAGGCTGGTGTTCTATCCACTGCACCACCTAGCTGCCCTTAGCACCTACATTTTTTAAAGTATATAATAAATTCTACCCATTACTTTGAGAACTGTACTGCTTGTCTCCGCTTCCTTCTGAACTTCCTCCTTTTCTCTTCTGTGCATTTGAAAAATGTTCTAATGGCCCTTTTATTTTTGGCATCACTATTGTTAATCTTGTCCCACTGAAAACCTAGTGAAAGAAAGGGGAGAAATAATTCATGTAATATAAATATAATCAAGTCAAATGAATCCGCACAGTGACCATGTTAAAAAAATATGTCTTTCTAAACATTAACATCCATCAGTTATCTGTCAGGCGGTGGGTAACATGCTTTATTATAGGTCTTCTGGAGACATCATTATTGCATTAATCTGAGTTCTTCAATCCTTTAAAATTGTTTTACTTTACAACTTTGCTGTCGTTGTATAAATTATTGTCTGGATTTTGCTTACTTAATTTTGCACTAGTTCATACTACCCAGAATTTTCTGATATCTCTCTTGTCATTTTCTATGGTACAGTAATGTTCCATTACTTTAATATGACATAATTTGATTAGCCTTTACCCAGTTGTGTAAAAGGCAATTTAAGGGGCCCCCCCCAGATCCTAGTTTTTTGCTTTTATTTCCTTTTTTCTCTTCTACTACTTCCTTCAGAATCAGAAAATTTGTTTTGTTTGCAGCTATTTCCTCCCCAAAATCATCCTACCTTTTAATATCTCCCCTTCCTATCCACACTTATTTTCTTGTTGAGTTTTTCTTCACCAAGCTCTTTGTGTATGTGTTCAGACCTCCTTCGTCCATTTTAGATAAGAATGAGGTACATCTGATGCCTGCTCACCTCATTCTTTCCTCCACATAGTATAATCTCACATATCCCAGTTCTACCCCCTTCTCCCTCCATTCTATAGTAGTATTTTCCTCTTCTTACTTTATCTTCTTTTTTTCCCTTTTCAGGCCTTCAGAACAGAACCATTCCACTCCCAGGTCTTCTGTTTTTCTTATTAATTCCTTCTCTTTAAAGATATTAAAATTCTGAAGAGACATTAGGGTTTTTTCCCCCTATTAGAATGGTAACCTACTTCATCATCATATAGCCCCTTCCTATTGCTCAGATAAATTTATCTTTCTAGGTTTCTTTTGACTTTTGCATTCATTTCAAATTCCTTTCTCAACTTTGATCTTTTCATCAGAAATGCTTAAAAGTCTTCTATTCCATTAAAAATCCATCCCCCCCCTCACCCCCATATTATACTCAGCTTTTCACCATTCTAGATTAGGTCCTCATTCCTTCTTATCTGTACTGTTGAAATAACCACTCATTTAATCTTCCAGCCTCGTTTCATTCCAATTCCTCCTCCAAATAGCTACCAAAGTAATTTTCCTAAAGCCTGACTATTTTACCTCCCTATTTGGCAAATTCTGGGGGATCCCTGTTACCTCTTGGATCAAATATAGACTTTACTGTTTGGCATTTAAAGTCCTGCTTATCTTTCCAGCCTTCTTACATATATTAGTGCCCTCCACTTACTCAATATACGTGCTGGCCTATTTGCTGTTCCTTATACACAGCGCTCCATCTGCTGTCTTCATAGCTGTGTTCTCCCTCCTTACCTCTGCATCTTGGAATCCCTGGTTTCCTTTGTGACTCAACTTGAGCATCAACTTCTGCATGAGATGTTTCCTCATCTTTCCCACTGAAAATGCCTTCCACTCTAAGGTTGCCTTTTTTTCTGCTTTTTATGTATGGGGTGTGGGGGCGGTGTTCTGTATATTCCTGCCTATGTATTTTGTATATATCTATATGAGTACATGTTGTTTTCCTCTATTAGAATACAAACCACCTGAGGCCAGGGATTGTTTCATTTTGTCTTTGTATCTACACTGCCTAACATAGCGCTTGGGACATATTAGGAATTTAATAAATGTTTGAAATTGCTTATGTTTCTGTTGTGTTCTTCTGTTTATTGAGCTACATGCCATATAAAAACAGCCATACCTTCTAGCATTTTATATCCTAAGATTATTAATACACAGATAATATTAGTTTTTGTAACACAACACTATTATAACTTTTTTTATGGTTGTTGAAGGTTAAAGTAGAATAGAGGAAGGGTAATCTGAAAGGCATAGTCTCCTTTATGTATCTATACTTGCCTATAAACTGATTGCCAAGAGAATTATAATGGGCAGCTTTAATTGAAAGGAAAGTGACCCTTTTAAGACTATTTAAAGTATTTGAGTTTTGAAAAAAGAACATAGGTATATAATATTGCACCAAGATTTTAAGTCAGTCTTTAATAATAGTTGCCGGTAATATTTTTTTCCTATAAAGTGGTAAGAACGTTATTTTATTTGGGAAGGTCTTTTTAAGGATTCTTTTACTTTTCAGATTATCTAAATATGTTAAATATGCAAGTATTTAAGTTTAAAAAAGAATATAATGCACATCTATTTTTTGCATCCTGATTCTTCTTCCCCTTCTGGTGAATAAAGATATTCTATGGATGGAATTAATTTTTTTTCTAAACCTCAGTCATATCAAATAATAATCTTACCTTGTACCTTTAATATGTGTTTAATAAATACTTTTGAATTAAATTACATTAAGGCCAGATTTCATCATTTTCTCTTCATTCAGCAAACATGATTCATTGGTATCTTTTTCTTTTTTTCCTTTTTATTAGGGTAACTATCACTATCTTCTTTTTCTCCTCAAATTTACTTTTCAATATTCTTGAGGTACCTAGGCTATACAGTGGATAGAGTGCTGGGCCTGGGGTCAGGAAGACCTGAGTTCAAATTCAGCCGCAGACACTTGCTAGCTCTGTGTTCCTGGACAGGTCACTTAATCTTTTTTTTTTTTTACCTCAGCTTCATCATCTGTAAAATGAAGATAACAATACCACCTACCTCACAGAGCTGTTAGGATTAAATGAGATAATATTTGTCAAGTGTTTAGTACAGTGCCTGGCATGTGATAGGAGCTGTATGAGTACTTATTCTCATCCCCTTCCCCTCCTGCCAAAAAAACTTTTCTCTCATAACAAACGTAGTTACACAAAATAAAATCCACATATTAGCCATGTCTGAAAATGACAGCTCATTCTGTACGTCTAGTCCATCACCTCTCTTCCAAGAGGTGGGAAGCATGATTTGTCACCAGTCATCTGAAATCACAGCTCTTAGGTATTTCACAGTTGTTTTCCTTTACAATGCTGTAGTCACTGTACAGATTGTTAGCCAAGTTCTCACTTTACTCTGCTTCAGTTCATACAAATTTTCCTTGTCTTCTCTGAATCTGTTATGTTCAACATTTGTTATGGTTAAAATAGTCCATTATATTAATATGTCCTAATTTTTGAGACACTCCCCAGTTAATGAGCACTCTCTTAGTTCCACTTCCTTGCTGTAACAAAAAGTTGCCACTATTAACATTTTTGTATATGGGTCCTTTTCCTCTTTCTTTGATATCTTTTAGGGTATATGTCTAGGGCTACCATGGGTCAGAGACTGTGTACAGTTTAATGTCTTTTTGGGTACAGTTCTAGATTCTTTCCAAAATGGTTGGTAAGGTCATGATTAATCAAGATTTCTTGGAGGACCTGACATTTGATGTAACTTTAATGGATGAAATTATTGTAGAGGGGAAGAGGGAATTTCAAGCATAGGGAACCTCATGAGCAAAGACGTAGAAGTGAGAGTGCAGTGTGTTTGAAGGAAAAACAAATTCGTTTTGCCTGGAATGTATAGAGGAGAATAATATGAGAAAAACTTGGATATTAGTACTTTCAGATTTGTCATTTCTTGCTGTAATTATGTGATGTTCATGTTCTTATATTTCCTTCAAGTGAGAAACCCCTACACGGGACACAAGTACCTCTGTGGAGCTTTGCAGTCTGGAATTGTTTTGCTTCAGTGGTATGAGCCAATGCAGAAATTCATGTTAATAAAGGTGTGCTCTCTATATTTATAGTTTATTTTCTTTTTCTAATAAATTATAAAGAGCTACTACTGGTGTCAAAATTAAGTGGAATTATAAAAGTATCATGTCATTTGTTAAAATTTCTTACCAATTTTATTGTTTATTTAGCACAAGTAAATTTAATTTTGTTAAGCTAATCTACTTCAGAGAAGCTTCACATTTTTGAAGATTGAGTTAAATCTATACAACACATTTTTTAGAAACTATTACATGCTTCATGTTTTAAGTTCTGTTAAAAGTAATGCTTTCTGGAATTATACCTATGAGGAAGTGAATACATATTCAGTATCTGTCTGAATGATAGGAAAATATGTTAACTAAAATTCTCTCATTTATTTTCCTATAGCACTTTGATTTTCCTTTGCCCAGCCCTTTGAATGTATTTGAAATGCTAGTGATACCAGAGCAAGAATATCCCATGGTGTGTGTAGCTCTTAGCAAGGGGATTGAATCAGGTCAGGTTGTTCAGTTTGAGACAATCAACTTGAACTCTGCATCTTCATGGTTTACAGAAATTGGTGCAGGTGAGTAGAGTTCTTTTCTCTTTTAGAATATGGGGGGCTGCAGCTCCAGCCTTGGAGTCAGGAGGACCTGAGTTCAAATGTGACCTCAGACACTTGACACTTGCCTAGCTGTATGACCCTGGGCAAGTCACTTAACCTCAATTGCCTTAAAAAAAAAAAAGAATATGGGGTGTTGTTTGTATGTGTAACAAAAATAAACATAACTAATTTTTAAGCTTTTAATTGTTTTTAGAATACATATTGTCTTCTCCCTGACCCCCCTCCCATGATAAAGAGAAAATCATTTAAATATAATTTAATGCTTTAGTCAGGAGTTAGTTCATTATATCGTAGTACAAGATAATTTACTAATGAAAGTTTGTCAACTTCAGCCCTCTCCCAGCTGAGTGTCTATGTCAGGAGTGGGAAACTTGCAGCCTTGAGGCCACATGTCGTTCTCTAGGTCCTCAAGTGTGGCCCTTTGACTGAATCCAAACTTCACAGCACAAATCTTTTTATTAACGGGCCTTGAAGCCACAGGTTCCCCACCCCTTGTCTGTGTTATTCCCTCTTTCAGCCAATGGGACCCAGCTGGCCAGTTCCAGTTGGGTAACCAAGTTTGTTGTCCCCTGTCCCTGTCCCTGTCCTTATTCTTCATCCTTCTCCCTCTCCCATCTTCTCATATGTCTTCTTTGGGGCCAAATTTGGTCTTTATAATTTCATAACATTCAGTTTTTATTGTTTGGTGGGTGTTCTTTCTGTTTACTTTGTTGTACTCATTGTGTTTTCCTGACTCTGCTTATTTCACTTTACATGAGTTCATGGAAGTTTTTCCGTGTTTTCTGTATTCCTTTGGTTTGTTTTTTCTTACAACACAGTAACGTTCCATTGCATTCATTTACCACAATTTGTTTTGCAATTCCCAAATCAGTGGGCATTTACTTTGTTTCCAGTTCTTCGCTATTACAAACATTTAGAGCAGAACTTTTTATTTTAGCATTCACGTGTGTGCATGCATGCATGTACTTGTGTGTGTGTGTGTTGCCTTTTTGTCAAAGACTTCCCTGGGATATATACAACACAGTTTCTAGGCTGCATTTATGGAAATTTTAGTCATTGACTAGCATAATTACAAATTGCTTTCTAGAATGGTTATACTAATTCATAGCTTCAGCACTAACAATGCATTAATATGCTTGTCTTTCCACAAGCCCTCTAACATTAACTATTCCCACTTTTTGTCATCTTTACCAGTTTGTGCAGTTTATCTTAGTGTAATCAAGTACATATGTTCCCTCTGATTCCTTGTGTTTTTAATAGATTGACTCACCTCTTCTCACAATGGATATAAATACATTATTCCATTTCCATTTTTTTACAATTCTTTTTTGTGCTTAGTTGTCATCTCACTGGACTTAACTGAGCTAGTAGTGTGATATGTGGGTTTTGTATGTATCCAACCAAATACTTGGTCACTTTTCCCAAGTACATTCGTTAAATAATAAATCTTTTCCCCAGTTTTTAGTTTCTGTAAGTATGTTAAGAATTTTGGTTTTTGATATATATTTGCAGGTATGACTAGTAGTCATAATTTCTTCCAATGATCTATTTCCTTTTTTACCTATAACCAAATCGTTTTGATAACTGCTTTGTAACAGGTTTTATAGTCTGGGAATGCAAATCTACTTTTATCATGTTTCTTTGTCACCATATACCTCGACAGACCAAACTTAATCCTCATGGGTATGTTTAGCTTTTATATCCTCTTTTCTTGCTCAAATACCTTATTCTAAAAAAGATGAAGATGATGATTACGATGTTAATTACTGTTCGTTTTGTGTCCATAGTTAGCTGGAAACCCAAAGAACCAAAGTTAGAGCAGAATTTTAAAATGGTATATATTTTCCAAGTTCCAGTTTCTGTGTTTTGAAATTTTTTTAAGATTACACATAATTATAATCTTTTTTTTCCCCTTTCATCAAGGCAACCAGCAGTTAGATTCCATCCATGTGACACAATTGGAAAGAGATACAGTTCTAGTGTGTTTAGACAGTAAGTACTATTCTCATCTGTTTTCTAAAAATTTCTGTAATTGCAAAATTTGACTGTATTGTTTCAAAAAGTTTCATGGTTACTCCATTTCAATTCATGTTGACAATAGTTACTTCTTTTTCAGTAAAAAATAATGATCATGTGGTAATTAATTCAGAATTATCTTTATTCTCCATAAGATGTCCAATCAATTTTCAAAAGAATATTCTTTCATACCTAAAATATTCAGTTTACTCTCTACAACTCAAAAAAAATTATTAGGAAGTAGTGGAATTTGTTAATCTAGTACTGATTCCTAGAAGATACTCCTTTTTTGACCAGTTTAACTGGCTATAGTAAAGCCAGTCTAAATTAATTTTAAAATTTAGTCATTTCTGCAGTAGTGAAAAAACATTTTAGAGAATATGTTGTAATGTTTTCTCTCAAATTTCAGTATTACTTACCTGAACTATTCTA